CGAAAACGCATTAGTGTGGTCAGGTGAAAACAAACCTAAAACGCTATTGTGGGCGAAAATATTTTGCTTCGTTTTCGTTGAGACGAAAACGGATACTTTTAAAAACGCATTAGAGTGGTCGGGGCCTTGAATGCAGGAAACACGGTTCTTATGTAAAAATGTACTCAAGTGTTTACATCCTGTATATGTAAGAACGTGTGATTTTATTTTTCTTCAATATCGTAGTTTGCATGTTTTGTTTTTCTTTCCGCAGTTTATAAGGAGGAATCGACCAAAAACTATTTCCTACGAAGAAGCTCTGGAGCAAGTGAAACAAGAACAGAGATAACAAATGAGCAAAGAAAGTTATTTACATTGCAGTGAAACAGCTCTTAAGAAGAGATTCCTTTCGTTATGGCCACAAGAAGATTGTTTCTAAAGAACAGGATGTTGCAGAATGGGCTTGAAAAGAGAAGATGAATTTGAAACAGACTGTTTCGTAGAAACGGAGAGGAAAAGAGAGAGGGTTGCTAAAACTGTCTTGTTTATGAAAAGCGTGAATTTTGAGGGTGAATTTTCATTGTCATTATTAATTTTCATCACGTTATGTCTACGTATTCTACTGCAGAATACAAATTGACATTGGGAAGAGGAAACATTTTTGGTTTTCGTCACGTTTGTTGAACTATTTTCGATAGTGTTTTTAATATGGAAAGACTTGTTCATCTCTTGAGTGAACCAGATTCTGAAGAGGCCTCACTGCGAAAAGGCTGTGTTCAAAAATGACATTAAAATGTGTTCTTAAATGACATTTTCTCATCCAATTCCATTCATTTTATTTTAGCTTGCTGTTTTTGTCAAACAATAAGTGTTTACTCAATGGAGTACGTTCGCGATATTGTAATTTGACATTTAGTTTGACACGGCGATGTTTTGCGATTTTCGATTTTCTAATTTCAGTCCTACAAACCAAAGGAAAGCGAGTTGATTTAATAACAAAACTGATTTTGTTTTGCTTTAAAGGATCAAAGATGGACTGACATAGGTTTCAATGAAAGGACAGTTCAAAATTCATAAAGAAATAACCTCAGTTGCGGCATTTTAATAGATTAAAGAGTTTCCGTTTGTTGAAATATGTTTGCATTTACTCTGTTTTCACGAGAACTAATTATTGCATCTTTTATCGATGTTATGAAAATTTCCAGCACTTATTAATCAACGAGTTTTTTTTCCTGAACTTTGGAAAGTTTAGCTTTGCTTTTGAGTGGTCACAAAGCGAATTTTCAAAGGCAGGATTCTTGATGTAGAGGCTGGGCGTTAGCTCTAAATTGTGGATATATTTTACAATTCAACATTCAAAGTTTTTCTGTATTGAAAAATTGTTGATAATACTCAACACAAACACTGTCTATATTTCACATTAGTGATAATTTTGTTTTGCATATTCACAAGACTTCTTTGTTTCTCAGGACATAATGAACTTTTGTCTCTATTTAAAGAAATAAATCCCCTCTAAACAAACGAAATAAAAGGATTATGGAGGAGTATTGATGGCACATTTTTAAATAATGATAATGGAGGTGTGAATCTACATTTGCACGTTGCTTAAAGTAATTATTTGCCAAGGTCGCTATAACGACTACTGAAAACAAACTCTGGCGACCTCTGAAAGATCAGAATTTAAATTCAAACTACGGGAGGGCATCTACTGTCGACGTTTGCTTATCAAAACAAAATTGAGACAGCCTTTGTCTTGCATTTTGTTGGGTTTATTGATCTGATATCGACGAAATTACACAGATAAGAAGCAAAAATGAGCACAGAGATAATCAAATCGGACGTGGAGACGCCGAAGGATAGTAAAGTGGACAAGGCAGCGAAGAATTTAAAACCAACCAAAGGAAAAGAGCTCAATCCTGGCGGAGCAAACAGAACCCGACCACCTAGCACCGCTTCCATAACACAGTCAATGGCGACATCATTTTCTAGACAAGATGGACGACGAGGACCCGAGGTAGCGATGGAAAACACTTTCAAAATGACACCCGATAGAAAGTTCCCAGAAGGCGACGTCCGTTCGATACTGAAGGAAATTTTAACGGAGAGATTAACGGCAGCCAAATACGACGCCGACCAGTGCAGACAGCTATCAAAGTCGATATCGGACACAGTGAAAAACCGAGTGAAGGATTTGAACATTCATCGCTACAAAATCATTTGTCTGGTGCATATTGGTCAGCTGGGGAATCAAGCGATGCGAATTGGAAGCAGATGTCTCTGGGATACGAGCCATGACACTTTCGCTTCGTTCGAGTTCAAAAACTCATCTCTGTTTGCTTCAGCAACTGTGTACGGAGTTTATTTTGAATAACATACTGTGATCTGTTTCACTCTCAATTATTGATTCACACTGATTCATTTACAGCTCTAAATATAGAATTCTTCGCTAGTTTCTTGTACAATCACAAGTTACGACCATAAATCTGTAGTGTGTTAATTAAATGTACGACCGGTTGAAATAATTTATATATTTAAGATTTGAACGTTAAAATAGTTGCGTCGAAAGCGTACTTACTAAATATTTAATATATAATTAGTGAATTGTTTGTTTGATTAGAAATAAAACAATTCAAATGATCTCATTAGTAATTGATTAGTTTATCTCATTCCAGCAAGGACTCGTTAAGTATATAATATCGACACCTTTTTCAACCACTTCGGAGATTTCTTAACTCTCCTGCCGGCATAAAACCACCCATAGCGTTCATACGATCTTTCTAAATACAAATATTAGCTGCCCGGGCAGAGATTTGCCGATAATCTTGCATCGGTTCGCTCGAAGGGGGGATGGCAGCTCCACTTAGAAACCACTAGCTACTCGGAGGGTTCAAATCCCGCGTCTCGCTACTAATTTTGTCTCAATCCCGCCACCCCGCGCACTCAGAACGTCTATCCCGATCCCGCCTGGTTAGAGTCGCAGTTCTCCGCGTAACGTTATTTTCTGTTTTTCATCCCGCATCCCGCCATCAATTTTGAAACAACCCCGCATCCCGCTACTGCCAAAGTATTGTCTATCCTGCATCCCTTCGTTAAAATTTCTGTCATACCGAATCCCGCCTCCCATTTCATTCATCCCGCATCCCGCCAAACCTATGTTTATTTCGTGTCCCAAAATTAGTATGGGAGTTTTCCAGGCTACAAGGCAGTCTCAGACAACCTACTTTTAATTTCCCGGGGGAGCATGCCCCCCTGAACCCCTAGAGGCTCGCGCCTCCGGCGCTCGTTTCGACCGTCTCCTCGTTGGATCGCACCCTCCCGCAAAAAGACCTGCTTACGGGCCTGCTATCTACCCTCTAATCTAAGAGCTGCCAAGAGAGCTTGTGCGCAGGTTACGAAATCGTGATCTTGTACAAGAAAAGACGACAAACAACTTCAGTGAATACACTTAAAAATATCTCGTCGCAAAAGCTTTTGCTAATGGAATTTGAGGAATTGATTACATGTATACGTTGCAAAGTATTTCACGTTTTCAAACTGTAATTCGTGGCGTTCCTGTGACAGCAATTGTTTCTTCTCAAATCTTTATGGCAAAGAGCTTAGAAAGTTCAAGTGTAGTGTATCAAGAAGTTTCTCCACCAACATAAATTAATATTGTGAAATTCACCGAATAGAGTTACTTTCTTTGATTTTATTCGTTCTTCTCTTTCCTTAAAATAGTTTTTGGAGAAAATTGCCTTCAGTTACAACTTCATTACAACTTCGCGTCAAACATGAAAAATAAAAGCATTCAGTCTCTCCTCGTAAATTAGACGTTCCTATAAAAAAGTGTATATGTTGTCTTCGACATTTTCATCAGTCAAACTAGTCCAGAAAATAAAACTCTACAGCAATGCTGCGCCACACATTTCAAGAAAATGCTGCCCGTGGCCGTACTCAGTTTCTAAAGGGCTCCTGTGATTTGCTGTACGCTCTTTTGCAAAATCTAAGCACTGTTGTCGATTTTTCTGTTCTAGCTGTCTTTAAGCTTCCTAAAATCATTCTTAAAATAGATTACGATGCCCAAGCAGTTCTGTGAAGTCTTGAAGTCAAATACCATGCCATTGATCTTAAACTTTTTCCGATAAAAACGTGATTTATACGAGCTACGAATTTCCTGCTATTCAATACCGTCAAATAACACCAGGATCCGGCTCATTCTCCATATGAGCAAGTCCTCTCCTGGGGCGACTTCCACTCCCAGCAACTACACAACGCTTACGCAGACAAAAATACCACAAGGCTGTGACGAATATCACCACGAGAAGCGTGACAAACACTCCCAGGAAAAAGCCACCAGTCCCGGATACTTTGGGCTCTCTTACAGTGGGGCACTCGGATGCTGTGACTTGGCAGCGTGACAATTGGGTATTGCCACATGCGTGACACCATGATTCAATGTCACGCACCGCAAGCGAGTTTACAAGTTTAACAAACTGATCTAGAGAGCATGGGTCTTTGCATTCGGGAATGCTGTATTTTGTCAACGGTTCCTGGTAATGCAAACAAAAAAAAAATCCTAACATGAATTACATGGTTTTACATTGTACAATTGTCATGTGTCGTTCAGCAGGGTTATTTGGGTGGTAATGGAACTTACTCTTGTAAGAGGAAGGGGAGAAGCGATGTGCGACACTCAGATGGCATCTGCCAAATAGGTCAACCATTTATGAGACATCCTGGGGGGGGGGGGCAGTACTCCCCATTAACGGCTTATACGGGGAGGCTCCGCCCAAAGGGGGTACCTTTTTGAGGGTTCAAGTATATACACAATTGAAAAGGGTAGGAATTTCACAAGTTGAGGTATATGAAAGGGTAGGGCAATCTGCCATTTAGGTATAATGTAAATTGAAACTGAAAAATAATATTTGTTCTTCGGTTAACATTTCTTCTGGTAATGCTTGACATTCTCCTGTAGTATTGTTAATTAACTTCATTCCAAGGATTTAGAAATGGAAGCAGTGTTCTAAAGTAGGTATGTGAAGAAAGGGGTAACTATTTTAAAAGGTATAAGAAATGAGTACCTTTTCTGTCAACGTGGTATACAAAAGTGTAAGGGGTTGGACATCGGGTGTAGCCTTCCTGTACCAAACTTTGTAGAGTACCCCCCTCCCCCCAAAAAAAGAAATACGGTAGGGAGGGAAAAATGAAAAGCTGCTGCTCAACTGTAAAGGAAGGAGAATATTTGAAATAATGGGAATATGAAATATGAGATGTGGAAGCCTAATGAATAGTTCACTCTACTAAACTGATGGTCAAGACTTAATAACCACCTGGTGGGAAGAAAACACATCTACAGTCAAAACATGAAAGTAGTTGAAATCTTCAACCAAATTCATGGGAAAATGTCTGAAAATAGTAGCTTCCACACTTACCTCTAAACCATTCTTGAAAGAAAACTGAACAACAAACTTGTCATTGTTAGAATCATGTAGTAATTCGAAGAAAACTAAGGAAGCATAATATGGTATTCTTCTCAAAGGACTGTCAGACATTTTGTTTAAACCAAGTGCAGAAAACAGAGAAAACATTGTTGGATAATGGGCAGAGTAATACAGCAGCTGAAAAACAAGACAGAAGGAAATGGGATCAGTAGTATTATGGACAATCATTGCCAAGACACCAGAAGACATCAATGGATACACTATAAATCATCTGAAACTTGAGTGATACCCGATAGTGCAGCAGATCAAAGAGATATGAAGTGTGCAAATGGCAAAAGAATGTTAGTCGATCATTCTGTCTTTCTCTTTGACAAATTTTTGTTTCCAAATGAAATGAATTCCTTTACTTCTCATGGTGTGTTGTTAGTAAGCCAGAATATTAATCCCGTCCGACAATCCATTGATATCCAGCAACATCAAGTCATGAACCTGATATGGCCAAAATCAAGGCCCAATTCAGGTACAGTAAATGCCTAATCAGGTACACTTCTAAGGGATCTCAGACTCATTTGGTCTTGCCATGGGAATTTTGGCTCTGAACGGCATGTTGACAAAATGTGAACCATGGTTCAGTCCAGCTCGCCTGATATTCTACTGAAATGCCTAAAGGTTGGCACACACGAGGGGACTCGTCGGTGCAACTAGTCCCTGCAACTAGTCCCCTGAAGAGTTTACACGGAGGGACTGGTTGCAGGGACTTGTCCCAGGAACAGTTCACACAAAGAATTTTGAGGAACAAGTCGCAGGGACCTGTCCCAAAAATTCAAACCAGTTTGAATTCATGGGACTAGTCACAGGGACCAAATTTTAGTCCCTGCGACTAGATTTTGGGGCAAAAATGGCTGGTTCACATGATGGGACTTGTCCCCACGACTTCTTACAGGGACTAGTCGCAGGCACTAGTCCCCTCTTGTGTGCTGACCTTAAAACAATGTGATTAAGTTTATGGTCATTGATTCATAGTCTGTCAACTAGTACAGTGGTGAGAGCATTTCAACAAATTAATCAAGAGTATAGTTTGGTCATTTGTACATGGCATGTGGACCTGATACTCAGAGTCACCGCGTTGTCAATTGAGCAGCTTAGATCCACATGGATGCAAGACTTACAGTGCAGGTTGGCGTTATCAAATGATTTTAGCATACCTTTCTTTTGCTTTTCTTTGCTGCGATCTCACTAAAACTTGAAGCAATCTCATTGGCCAAAATCCCGCCACCTATGTCGCCAATCATTTCCTTGCTGTATTTATTGTACTCAACCCAGTCTGCGAAATAAACTACCTTTCTCCACTGCTCATCAGTTATGTTAAGATATGTATGGTTATACAGTTGGTGAAGATGGATATAATCATACCTGAGGTAACAGAAAATTACAAATTAAATATTAGGTTATTATCATGAAACTCAGAAAACTGTGAATACCAGAAATACTTATAGAATGGTATGGTGTAGCAAGTAAAAAGCCAATCAGGCATGAGAAAACTAAACCACAAACAGCAATGATAATTAGTTTGTGGTTTTGAGGTTTCCTTATGTGTCCTGAACTATTATGATCAGTCAGAATCAAATCTAAGTGTTTACAGTTTTTTGACATTGACAGTAAGCCAGTAATTAAGGTGAAACTGAGTTTGCAGCTGCAGCTTGTCACTAATCAAGGACCCATTTATTAATACCTGGGTGGGGAGAGACACCGTGTCTTGCTAAAGAACACGACATGATGACCCCAGCCAAGTCTCAAACCTACATAATACACCACTTGAACTGGAGTTCAAGGACCAGTGTTTCAAAGGGTGAGTAATGCGATGTCGCCAGAGAAATGGCTATCCAGTGGATAAATGTTGGCAAAACAAACTATGCTATCCACTGGATAGTGATTTATCTGGTGGATGGCAATATCCACCCTTTGACTTAACTGGGGCCAGCACTCAAAACAACAGGTCACAAATGCCTATATACCACTACTTAATTATTGCAAAAGTAAACAGCAGCTTGCTTCAATGTCTTACACATTGTAGAAGTCTTCAAGTCCAATTTTCTCAATGCCTACAATGCTTTCAAGCTGTTTCCTCAATTTAGCGCTTTCATTCTCTTTCTTCTGAAATTCGGCACTCTTATAAAATGTATCAAGTCTTTTGTTAAGCTTAGGGCAGGCCAGCCATCCTCTGAGAACTTGGTCATTCTGCACAGCAACTGTGTGGATTGGAACCTGCCATAAAAGGAATAAATTGTGAATGATTAGTCATTTACGTACTAGCTTGGGCCATAAAAATTATCACTCACTGGGG